CACGGCGTCTGTAGAGTGGTTTCAAGTTTAGAAAACACGTAAAACAAGCCCTGTCGATATTTCTTCATATCGTGAGCTTGCGATTACAAAGTCGATTGTTGGAAGTCGACCCCACTTGTATCTTTAATTCTATTTGTTTATCGTGACCTATTCAGCGTGAGACATATTCTGAATAAAAATCTGTGAGGGTCCCCTCAGGTGATTGACTCTGCGGATTGACACTTTTGTTGCCCCTTTCAGATAAAGTCTGGGGATCAACACTTGCGCGGTCTTGGTGGCCTTGAAATCAATCGTAAACTGAACACACTGCGCAGAATCGCCATCGTGACATAATCCTTGCCCGGTTCAACTCGATCTTGCTGGAAACATCTTCATACGTCACTTATGTGACCACTGAGGGGACAAAGAACCGGTTGATAATAACTATCATAGTTGATAGTGCCCTCAAAAAATAGGGACCAATTATCGTTCTTAGTGCACGCTTGCAGTTGTGGTCTAGGCAACACGGAGTTTTCCTCCGGGGGCTTCCCCGGTTTCTCCGTGGCATCCCAACAATTACTCCACTCACACACAGAAGAAGGCAATGGCAAACCACTTCTGGATCATCTGCCAAGAACGTATATGAACAGGTCCCAGTCCGAGAAAAGGATGGAAGGATCCTGTCCATGTGGACCTGTCGTCAGACAGAACACTATATAATAATACGGATATGTTTTAGTGCTTTGTTGATGAACATCAACTGTGGCAGTTTGCAAATGTGCCTCTCTTTGCTTCGCATTACGCGATCAGATTTGCCTAGTATTTTGTCCCCTGCTAACACTCGTATCGTGTCTGATCTCGGCGAGTCAGCAAGTCACTCATTTCCCTGAATAATGTCAACGAAATTCAAAAACGTGTTGTGATGTCGTACGTGAGAATCGGGTCGTATTTCCGAAAAAAATTCTTTTGACCTCACCTCCACATTTAAACAAGTGTTCCGGCAAACCGCGCGGGCTGTAATTGACGACACCATTTTCACGACTTTGCACTCCTCCGAAGAGCTCGCCTTCCGCGGATTAGCTGGTTGAAGAAAAGAAAAGGTCAAGGTTATATAGTCACGTGACAGCACAGTAACACTGATTACATTCCTTTCAAAGTCCTTTTTGAGAAGCTAATAGAACGCTCAGCTACTTAGAACATTTACCATAATTTAAATAGCCTTGAAGGTTAAACACCGTGTTCACAGGAGCCAGCTACTAGTCCTTGGCCTGAGCCAGATGAATCCAATCCACACTCCCCAATTTTATGTCCATAAGAGCTATTTTAATATCTTCCGAATGGTATCTTCCATCCAGTCAAAATATGCACACTTTTTCATCTTCCTATGCGAGCTACATGGTGAAAAGTACACATTATGGAGCTTCTGATTACGCAGTTTTCTCCAGTCCCCTGTCACTTCGCGCACCACAAGTCAAAATGTCCTCCTCAGTACCATGTTCTCAAGCGCCCTTAATTTGGGTTATTTCCCTAACATAAAATCCTGATGGAAAAATTGAGGTTCTCACGGCTGAGTACGAAGATGGCTGTCTTCTGAGTTGTAGCTCCGTGTAGTCTATAGACATTTATCGACGTTTCATACGTTCTTGCTGCCACGGGTAACAGGGCACTTAAGCCTGATCATTGCCCTGATGATTGAGGCAGCAAGGACCTTTGAAATGTTAGTAAATATCTACGTATAGTTCCAACTTCTTGTAGCGGGAACGGGAAACATTACGAATTCAAATGAGACAAGTACATTTTTATTTTAGGAATACATTTATTTATTAGACTTTACACACCAGAGTTGTAATGTGTACACGTTTACCAAATTTGCTGAATATGCTGTCTTTGTGATGCTAAGAATTTGTGGTACGCGCAGAATTTACAGTCATGTGTCTTATTGTCTTCGCAGTCGCTTGAGTCAAACGCCAAAGGTCGCCCCGCGCGTTGACTCTTTTCGTGTAAACTCCGTCCTTCAGATGGCTCCACATGTTGAAGTTGGGTGATCGCGGAGGCCACTTAACCGGTCCGTTTCGTCCTATCCAACTAACGGGAAGAAATTGTTTGCTTCCGCGTTGCCAGTATTATATCCAGCAGAACTTGAGGTAAGTCATCTGTTATAAATGTAAATAAGAGGCCACTGAGAGCCGAAGCGGAAACACGTGATGTCCTATGAGGAAATTGGCAGTTATTCTCACCAAAATATTAGCTGTATATTGTCATTATGCAGTGTTGAGCTTTATGGTTTAATTTTACGGGTGTAACACGAATGTTATATTTATTGCATGTAATGAAGAATCGTGCCACGGTGGTCTAGCGGTTAGAACGCTGGCCTTGTAATCCTGGGGTCTCGGGTTCGATTCCCGGTGGTGCCCGAATTTATAACTTGTGTTGGGCAAGGCCGTGGTCTAGGCAACACGGAGTTTTCCTCCGGGGGCTTCCCCGGTTTCTCCGTGGCATCCCAACAATTACTCCATTCACACACAGAAGAAGGCAATGGCAAACCACTTCTGGATCATGTGCCAAGAACGTATATGAACAGGTCCCAGTCCGAGAAAAGGATGGAAGGATCCTGTTCATATGGACCTGTCGTCAGACAGAACACTAAAAAAAAAAAAATCAACCTGTAGAATAATTTGTTCTGTAGTCAAGATGTGTATTATTCTTTATTGATATTTGTTTTTACACCCTTCTTCTGGTAGAGAGACCCTGCAACCAGTCGCCGACCATTGCAGCATTCGGTATAATCCAGTGGAGATTGAATTTCTGATAGCTCAAGAGTGTAACCTCACAGCTTTGTCTGAATGAAAGAACGAACTTAAGCTTCTTGGTTGGTCTGTCGGTCGGTTAATACGTGTCAAATGTCACGAGGACAATACAACTACAAAGCAAGTGCACAGCATCGCGTTGTTCACAGTTTACTTTACTTAATTCAAAGAAGATTGTACATTAATAATGATTTTTCGTGAAAAACGGAATTCGGTTTGTCTCCACCTTTCAGCTCCGAGCCCTGCTCATCCAGCCCAAGGGGTGGCTACATCTTACACCGGCTCTGAAGTAACGTTCATGCTACGTTTCTTGAAGCTTATAGCGTCCTTCGTGGTTACAGAAAGCCTGCCTTGGTCACTACTCTCACAATTATTATTTGCTCTTTGCGGAAAATTAAGAAATAATGTATGTCCGTCCGCACGTTTTATCTCAAAGCATATAATGGAATTCTGTGGAATTTGAGTCTGCATGAAAAAGTTATTTAGCTGTGAGGCTTAGGTGGAATTTATTAGTGAAAATTAATTTGGACATAATATATTAGACACAATACAGAGCCCAATAGATCTGCTTGGCCCAGAGACCGGGTTTCCTAACTTTGGTCGTGGTTTTCCTCAGATCCTGCAGGCAAATGTGGGGATAACACTTGACGTTCGCTCATGACCGCTCCTTTCAAATAAAATTTATTATTCTATAATCATTCGACGATCCAGGCTTCTTCTGAGAGGGTCGTTAAATTAATTAATTAATTAAATAAGATCTACAAGCTTTCTGTGAAGCACTTTTCGATGTCGTGAGTACCTACGTAGTGACATGGAAGGAAAATTCATGTCTTACTTTATTTATTACGAATATCTTTGCAGCAGTATGTTTTATTTTTAACGGGCCGGTTAAAAAAACTGTCTGTGGTTTTTATTCTGTTGTTGAAGAAAATACGAAGTTATTTGTTAAATATCAAATCTAAAACTTCTTGACGATGGTGAAGAGTCAATTGAATAAAAATTTTCTTGGATATTATCCATCGTCTAGTAAATATAAAACGTAAAACGACGTTTCGGAGATGGGTAGGAACCTGAAGACGGAGATAGAGTCCCATCTCCGAAACGTCGTTTTATATTTACTAGACGATGGATAATATCCAAGAAGTCCGGAGATAGGGATTAGCTCTATCTAGTGGGCCCAACTGTGTAGGAACCTGAAGACGGAGATAGAGTCCCATCTCCGAAACGTCGTTTTACGTTTTATATTTACTAGACGATGGATAATATCCAAGAAAATTTTTATTTTATTTGTTAAATATAAGTTATTTTTGTGATTGAAGTAATTTTTAAAGGTAGACAGGTAATTTAATTCGGTATTTAAGTATTTTGTCATACGTGGCGGTACAAGCGAGCTGGTTTGGTCTGATATATCTGGCAGTTTGAACAGAAATAATGTGTCACGAAATGTAAGAGCACGTTCATCCAACCAAGTCTCTTCTTTACATTATTCCTTGCCCTTAAGTTTACAGCACAACAGTTGGAAAAAGGACCAGAATTTTCCTCAAAATTATGAAACACCGTGTTTTGGAAAGATTGTAGAAATTAAGGTTTTAAAAATATTTCAGACGTCGTAGAGTTATGTAAATTGCGATGGGAAGATTAAGTTTATGATAGTTAATTAGATACAAGATTCACACAAGCAATAAATAAAACTCAGGGTCAGTTGTGTACGTAGAATCGGATTGAACGCGTATTGGCGTAGAAGATATGATCACGTGATCACGATGTGCAGGGAATTGAAGGGAATGTTGTATTGTGGCGGAAGGATGGTTTGTGGAAGGCATAGAAATAATTATTTGTCTGATTTGTAGGAAAGGGAGAGAAGAAAGGGTTGGGGGATGAGATTTTGGATAAGAGGATTTGGAATTTGGATCCATGAACAAGTGCGCAGAAGGTAGTTAGACGTAGGGACAAGACAGATTGTTTAATATATTGTTAAATAAATGAAAGAAGACAAGAGTGGAGCTCTTAAAAACGAGAGACTGAATGGAGGTTACAAACTCGTCAAAATTAGTTCAAAATGAAGTAAATATAGTATAAAAGTGTAAAGGGGTCCGCAGTGGCCGCTTGGTCGCTGGGACCGTGGGTTCGAATCCCACTCAAGTCATGGATGTTTGTCCGCGTTGTCCTGTGTACAGGTAGAGGCCTTGTGATGGGCCGATCCCTCATCAAAGGAGTCCTACCGAATGTCTATAGATCGAGCCAATGAAAAGTTGGGACCCGCAGTGCTCAGGCACTTGAAGAACGGGTCGTTCCCATTATCCCAGTATCCCGATATAAAAGTGTAAAGTTGCTGAAGTAGTGCCAACAGCCTATGACCCCTAAAATGTCACAGAAATTATCAGCATTATCGTCACAAATCGCATACAAATTAAACAATTTATAAAGTATATTTTTAACTGAATTAAATGCGTAAATATCTTCATGGCCGGGCTGAAGCCAGATTTCTCCCGGAAGCACCAACAAAGAACCGACCCCCAGACTCCGCCAGACCCTCTCGTAGACCCCATGACATGAACGAAGCACTTGTCCAGTCAGGCGTGACGGTGAGGGCTTTAAGAACGGGAAGTAGTTTTCTCTCGTCTGAGACTAAATTCTTTCTTCATAAATTTTATCAGTGGAGAAGTGGTAAGAAATTCTGCCTCCATTTGTCTCGGTAACTTGTCACTTCAGATATCTGATCGCGCCCATGGTTAGCTACTTCTTTATTCATTAGCTGTTCACACAAACGAATTAATTAATTAGCGCTCATTTTTCTTAAGCGAAAGTACTGTCCACAGATCACGAGAAAAACCCTGCAAGGGGAAGTCGTTTCTGGTGCGGTGCGGGGGGAATGTTACTTATCAGCTGGACTAGAGGGCTGCTATTGGTGGGAAGTGTGATACGTCAGAGTTTTACGCTACTACACAGACTGAAAACATCAAGCAGTTAAGAGTAGCATGTAGTGAGCGCACGTCTAATGTGTTGCGATAATATTCTAGATTAAATCGCTGTGAGGTAATCTTAAAGCTGTACCCATTAGAACACATGAAAGCCTGTCGTCTGTTGTTCGTTCAGTGGTTGTGGAACGAATGCTTTTAGGATGGGTCGTCACTCACAGCGAAATCTTGCGCATGCGCGTATATCGAATTCCTAGCAGGGATTTTCTCCTGATCTGTGGACTGTACCTTATGTCTATCCTAGGCATAGATTAAAAGTCCTCACAGAGGTATTTTGTGGATCTGGGTTGTTGCGCCTTGAAGTCTGGTACAAGTCCACCGACGTTTCAGAGGTACCAGGTCGGTAAACATCTACGACACTACACGGCGCTACAACCCAGACGACAGCCATCTTCCTACTCAGTTAACAGAACATGTGTGTTCTGTCGTTCGCAGTTAATAATTCGTAATCATTATCTCATAATCATCTGTAACATTCGACAAAGCCTTGTTAAATATTTCAGTGAAGAGACAAGTTGTTGATACAAAGTGCGTGAATAATGAAGTCCCTTACAAATCGCAGCAGCACTGCCCCACATTTCTTTGTAAGACATCTCTCGTATCTGTGATCGGAGCTGTGACGTAAATAACGAGACACGTGACATTGAATCATAACACCGTATCGCTCACGTGGAGGGGAACGTGCGCATCCAATGGGTCACGACCCCAACTGTACTTACTCCGTCTGCAAAAAAAGGAACAGATATGTGGAAATTTCGCCTTGACATCGTTTGGCGTTTTATAGAAGTCAGCTCATTGTTAGGGAGAAACTGGATATGCTAATTGTGTTGTGAACGTATAAATGCTTAAACATTTTAAGTATTTTTTGACGTAAATACGTCTATAAGGAAGGGTCGTTCGGCAAAAAAGTGTAACGAAAAAGGGAAATGAAAAAGTGTAAGATCCGATAACAAATGGTTACCTAGGGAACGTCGTGTTTACTCGGCATTGTTGTTACCTATAAAACATTACATTACTTTACATTACATTCAGCTACCACATACCCATCTTAAGCGTAACTAATTTAAGTTGAATAAGCAAAGTCTTAATCAAACTTTACTCAATTGTAAAGCATGTATAAAGGAAATATTTAGAATAAAGCCAATATATAAACTTCCTTTCCGTATAGACGTATTTACGTCAAATTCTCCGGAACCGTGGTTCCACTCTCACTTTTTTTCCACGGGTACTCCATTTGTATGCGTACTGCAGCGATAAGTATGCGTTACCATACCAGAACTCCTTGTGGCGATTGGTTTTACACCCTCGCTGACCAAGAAACTGATAGCACAACGCTGCTCCTATTTCGTGCGTGCTTCCATGGGAGCAGCCATCTTTGCACTGCTCTGCTGACGTCATAGAGCTTGCGTTGCCACGTCTACCGCACATAGTGTGTGCCTTTAACCCTTGTTGATGATTTACTGTGCTCACGATAGGTTCTAGACTTTTATTTTTGTACTTTTAAGGCTCTCCTTTGACTCTGCCTCGTGGTGTCAGTAAATACTTTTGTGTTTCTTCTTAATTTAAGATACAAAGCTGTAGTCGTAAATTTAGAGCAGAATTGTTCTGCGTCAGTGATTACTATGGAGTAATCATAAACATAGTCCAACAGGTAACAATGAAATACGTGCATCCTATTGGTTGGTGGTCGGTGATTCTGGAATTTACCACAAGTTTATGTTATGTTTCATTGTATGGCGACTTGTTTCGTTGAACGTTCATCGTTATCAGGCCATTTTACCTTAGTTTATTTTAGTATGTCTTCAGTTGCCATATTTATGTTCAGTTATTGTAATTTGTACAAAAGTCAGATGGAGCACCCAATAACACTGCTGCTCACATTGACAATTAAAACGCTATTACAACAAGATGAACTTTAATCATTTATTTGTTTATTCTATTTCGTAACTGGTTGCGTCATTACTTCCGGAGTTCAGTGTGTCGGACATCTTACAGATATGTAGTATCCATTTCTGTCCGGCACGTGCATACACTTTTTAATGGAAACAAGTGTCTGAATTATTAGCCTCGCTATGTATGATGACGTTACTTTCCATCACGTACAAATATAAATTTAGTCCTTGAAACATTTTCCACGTGGTTAACTAAGGATGTGTTAATCAATTTGTATCGGTGGGAATTAGAAACTTGCAGAATGAACTGAGACAACGTTGCACGCACCGTGAAATAATCGCATCATTCCCTTATAATACCTAAAATCCATCGGTGAAATGAATTTAACAATACAGTTTCTGGTTTAGGACATTGCGTAAGTAACCAAACACGTAAATCACATACTTTCAGGTAGGAAGGTAGCATGACACGCTCTGCGCATGCTCACCACTGTGGTACCGTCAAAACAACGTCTTCAAGTTGGACGTGCGGTATGTCACAAGGTTACATGGAAACTCCTCCAACATTGACTTTCACAGTTCCTGTGTCGCTCTGATTCTCTGTTCTGACGCACAATTCTTTCAACTGATGAAATTAGAGAGACGTACGAGGCGCGATCGGAAAGTTTAAAGACTGTGTCAATAGAGGGCGAACCAGATGTAGTACGAGCTTCTGCCGCTAGGGGGTGCGGCCTACATTCATAGTGAATCAGTGTGCCAGCCGGCATCATCGAATTAGCATTTGTTTCTTAGTTACGGGCGTTTTGGTAGTGCATTACACCGACCCTCCTGCGATTTCGGAATGGCGGATTTTCATGAACAAATCAAATTTTGCCCATGTTTCTTTATTACAAACCTGCCTCCATCTTCTGTAACCTTCTTGTAAAAAATTTCGAACATACTCACTCGTACGTAGCGTGGAAAGAGTTGATATTGTTTATGGGTAGTATAGTGTTCCTATGTATGAAACATATTTACCAATGCATAAAGCGATGGCACCAGGCACGAGGCAGCATCCTGCCGTGAAGGCGAGGAAGGTGTACATATGGTTGGCTAGATCCATAAACTCCTCCACTTGGCGGAGAAGCCAGTGTCCTCTTGAAACCATCTCACGCAGCTGTGACCGGGTTCCTGTGAGTCGTCTTCCACTTCTGTACCTGCGTTACAACACTTGTGTAGGAATTGGGTTACCCAGAGACACTTGGATGTGTAATACTTGCGAAGTTGCCTTCAGGAACGCATCAGACAAATGTTTTTCTCGACCAGCACAAGTATAAGTTGCTTTTATATACAATTTTAATTAATTTACCAAGGACTGACTGTGAAGATGTCTGGGCTGTCTGCTAGGATGCACGGGCCTTGTAGTCTGGTAGATATTGATTCAGAAGGTCGCTCGGTCAGTACCTACCAGACTACACGACCGGCCTGGTCGGTGCACGGAACGGCCAGGTAACATGACAGCTGTTTCAAAAATATTGACCATCGTCTGTTGTGTTTGTATGAGGGGGTGACACGCCAAGAATTTTGAGCGGGGGAGAAAGGGTGAATATTTGGTGGTGAGCATATTTATCGACGCATCTTTGCAGGGACTTGAATGTGGCTGAACTGTTGAACAGTCAAGTTGCTTCTATGGGCAGGAGGTCTGAACGTTCCGGTCGCCTGTCTTGTGAAATCACTTACATCGTTTGTTTACTGCAATGACCCGATGAGACCCCTCCGACCCGTCGTATCGATACCCAGTCCTTTTAGCTCGATACGTGGTTCAACGTCCCAAGCCGTGTGCCGAGGCATTCTTTACGCCTGGAACCGTTTGACGATGTTCCCGTAACGGGAAGTGTTTAGCGTATTGTACCACTGTCTTTATATTAAAAAATTTATGTCTGAAATGTTGTACCTGCGATACTTGAAATAAAAATTATGAAGAATAAATCAGTTTAATTTAGGATTTATCCTTAAAACAGAATTATAGATTAAAAATATCGGCGGTGGACATCTAAAAATAGTCGTCTCTGTCGTAAGTTTTTGCCATGCCTTGTTTCTTTAAACGATATATTAAAGTAAAGTAAGGTAAAGTAAAGTTTGTCCCACTGTACGTCATGTAGGCGTTTGGGGGGAGTGGAGGTATAGCTCCTCTCTTCCTTGACCTCGACACTAGATGGGGGTGAGTGGTCAGCATCACGCCCCGGCCGGCTTTACCCCCGGGAAAGGACCCCGGTACCCATTATAGAGGAGGCTGGGTGGGCCCCAGAGGCTAGAGGAAAAATCCTCTGCCCCCGTCGTGGATCGAACTCCGGTCCTACAGTCCGGCTCATCCTTAAACGATATATTAGGTGGGAAAATTGTGAACAAATTAGGAAGTGTACACATGCGCAAGGCGTTCGCTAGAAACTAACCTTTGCGGATTTTAGAATCGTCTTCGCTCGATCGAGATGTCTGGCGCCTCAAAATGTGGATGGTATGCGAATGAATTGAATAAAAAGTCGCTTACGGCCAACTAGAGGTGGCCTCCGAGCTTGGAGTTTGCGCTGAGGGCTAAGGAAACCTGGGCGTGATAGAATCTCGTGTTACGAAATGGACCAGAAGACGCAGGATTCGTTGGAAAGATGCAGGTGGTTTTAAAGAGATGGGCTATGATGTGAGGGTAGTGGATTGGATTAATCTGTATCAGTTACGGTACACAGCAGTGAAGCATTTTATTGCATAAATTCGGATAATTTTTTTTTTATATCTCAACAACTGTCAGCTTCTCACGAAAGACCGTGTTCAATTAAATTTGTATGTTATTGGCCAGTGATATTTGTTCAGAAATGTTATACGGTTTTATCAGGAGAAAATTAGCACCGCTGTGGATCACTGTAGGCTTCCAAATCTCTGCTCGAATTTAACAAAATATTTTAAACTTACCGAGCTGTTACAGGAGAAAAATTCGATTGATCTTAAACCTCTCCTTGCGACTGACCAAGATAAGGTAGGAAGAAAGTTTGGAAATATGGCATAAGAGTTCATCAGAAACGCAAAATACGAGAGTGCACATTGACGTTTATACACGCACGTGCGCGCGCAAACAATTTAAACGAAGACTGCAGACTTCTGGGTTTTTGCGCCGTCATCGCCCTGATGATGGAGGCAGCAAGGACCTCTGAAACGTCGGTAAACTTCCACTATGTAACAACCCAGAAGACAGCCATCTTCACCGCCGTAAAAACCTCAAACCCTACATAATTTAAACCTTTTCAGTGACCTCTGGTATGAGAAACGCAAACCTAGAGTATCTGCTGATATTCATTTGGACTATTCCCAGATAATTTTCAGATTCATTCACTATAATGAAGTTAATAAGACGCTTCGTTTAGTAATTCAACGATATAACATGGTCATTGTTACGTTACGCATATAGGAAATTGGACAGAATATGCGTATGTATGTAAAAAAACGTAGGGCTATTCAAAAAGATTTTCGGGGTTTTAGAAAGTCACAACACGTAGTACAATTGAGGTAGGAATACCAATCTTGTTTAATTGTGTGGCAAAACTCTCCAAGTTTTATTACATGAATTATAAATGCTCAATATGTGCACCTTCTGTCAATCTGCAGATATCTACAGGATAGTCTATTTCTTCCCACACACGCCCCAGCGTGTCAGCGGTGATGTTCAGAATGGCGGCTCTGATACGTACCTTCAGATCCGGGATAGTCGCAGGTAGAGGGAGAACAAATACTTGATCCTTCCCAAATTTCGTGTGGACGTGCCGTTGGACAATGGTAACGGACCGACTTTGATGATATTCGAGAGTACAAAAAGCCTTCTTCTTACCGTTAGCCGCCATATTGCAAAATCTGACACCTGGCGGCCAATCGCGTAACTACTGGATGGCGGGCGGTACAGAACAAAACTTTGAGAGTTTCTCTATCCACCAGTGTAATGATAATAATCGTATGTTTAATGCATTGCCCCACAAAAATTCACAAAACCCCGACAATCTTTTTGAATAGCCCTGTATATCACCAAGGGGAAGTTGCAAGGCCCTGACCCACGGGGGATTGTCATGGCGGTATAATTTTTATAAAATGTTAAAAAATGTCCCTTTATCTCTACGTGGGCCTGTAACGTTATACCTCGAAGAACGCTCAGCATCATCACTCTGCGTAAAATTTGGCTTCAAAGCCGTTGTTTGACTTCTCATTATCAGTCGTTTTTCAGGTTAACACTGAGTTGGTCTGTCGTCGTCTTCATCTGCAAAAACGACGTTGTTATACTTCACCGCACAAGAAATTAGAAAAATCAGTAGTAAATAGAGTAAACAGAACTTTGATATATCAAATCTAAAACTTCTTGACGGTAGTGAAGAGTCAATTGAATAAAAATTTACTTGGATATTATCCATCGTCTAGTAAATATAAAACGTAAAACGACGTTTCGGAGATGGGACTCTATCTCCGTCTTCAGGTTCCTACACAGTTGGGCCCACTAGATAGAGCTAAGCCCTATCCCTAGTCCGGAGATTTTTATTTAACAGAACTTTAATAACTTTTTCTTCTCCCAACGCCACATTTGATTCCAGTGGTGGCAGTATAAATATCGGACCTGCATCAAGATGGACGCACATATCACTACGAGATTTCGTTTTACCGAGTAATGTCGGTTTAATCATTTGAATCTGGCGTAAAGGAAATGCCAATCAAAATCGTCACTGCGTCGGGCGGGGTAAAAGTCAGTATCGAATTTCCATTCGGCTCATTTACGGCTATGCGCCATGTTTCTCTCATAGACTTGTGTTAACGCCGAACGGACTGAACATCCCTTTTTTAAGTAGCTTGAAAT